TATATATGGACAGCCGTTTGTTGTTTGAATGTGTAGATGTACCAAAGGAGGACATTCTTGGAGTACAGAAAGGCACCAGATACCAGGCATGGGCTTTTCTAAAGAAATTAGACAATATTGCTACATTGAGCTGCTTGAAGGACAGACTGGCCTTCTCCCAGCAGTAATTCTTTCAGAGGTCCCCAGTGTCACAGCTCATCTTTGTGCAGGGGCCCATGATCTGGCCCATAACCTGAGTGTGACTGAATCAATGTGACTGCTAAAGCTTAAGCTGGAGAGGTTTTTTTCTTCTTCATGTGACGGTGAACAAAGGTGCCGAATTTTGTAATGACATTTCTAAAAGGTATTTGCTATCCCTTGGACATTTAGTAAGGCACATAGTAATGCTCATTCGTATTCAAATCGATTGAAATGGATATATGCAAGGTGAAACCATGTGACTGACAGTTTGTGCTTGAAGGAGACTGCACGGAAGGAACCCTGACTTTATCAGTTCACTCCCCCTTCCTTCTCTTCTTGCTAAGTAGCCCAAGTGTGCCACCCTGCAGAGCATATTGTAAATTATGGCTTTGATTCATTAATAGTCTCAGCAGCTCAAGGCAGCTGCAAACCCAGTTTACCTGTCCAGTTAAAGTGGTTTTATGGCTGCTGTATACCTCTGAAGATTTGCAAGCCAGCAGTGTGTACCACTAAATCAACCTTTGTCAGTTTTACCAGAGAATAACAAGAAGGATACTATTGCTTTACTTCTTAACCTTTGGTGTTTTCATGAGCCTTTTGTCATTCTGAAATTGTGCCCAAATGCTTGAGGTTTAATGCAGGATTTATTACTCATCTTTACTGCCTGGGTTCTGTTTTGCAGTTTATTAAAGTCCACACATAGAGTTTGAAGCAGCCACCTGTGTATAAATCAAGCTAGATAAATAAACCACCTTCTACCAGAGAAACATAATATTTTGGGTTTGTCCGCAAGGGAAAATGTGGGAATGTCAATTGGAAACGCAGTGGCTAAAGTACCTCCAGTGCTTGAATGGATGCTCCCATTCTGTGCTGAGTGCTTCTTCATGCCTTAGCTTAGTTTGATTTGGAAGCAGAGTAAGATAAAAAAGCACTCAGGGGATATCAAGACTTTTTCTAGACTGACCTTGAGCTAGTGGGAGCCAGGGACATGGAATGGGCAGGGTGTGGAATAGCTGTTCTGTTACAGCCCTGCCAGGTCGTTTCCTCCAGATCTACTGTTTGCACATGGGCCATTTCCCAAATACCTGCTGATCTCTACCTGGTAGCTCTTTGTGATCCTTTCTTGTGAAGCTGATTTTCTTCTCTTGACATTTGAATACACAGGCACAGCTTGTGTCTTCTTAAACACCCACAGTCACTAAGAGCAGGGAGCTGGAAAGCAAGGACAATAAAACCAGCAAGAAATTATACATCTGAATCGTCAAGGAGAAATAGATCAGTCAGCTTCAATCTTTAAAGAATGAATTCAGTCAGCTGCAATAATGCTAATACAGCTTAGACCGGGACTTTTTGTTATGTGTCTACAGGACAAGCTTGATCTTGACCAAGTGAGTGACATGTGGGTGACATTCTTGGCCATGTCTGATGCTTTCTAAAAATCCCATCAAAATAGTGGACATGAGTTGCACGTGGAAGCTCCACTATTTACAGTTTAAACATGACTGCCTTTGAATTTGGTCCCTGTGTCCTCACTGAGATTTGCTATCCTCGTTCTACAGAAGCCAGAAGCTACCTGTTGAAAAGGGATAAACTCTGTTCCTTCAGGGAGGAGGGCAATAAGTTTAGTCCCTGTAGAGATACGAAAAGAGAGAATTGGGCTGGAAGTTAATTTATCCCATGCAGGAAT